CACACTAGAGATTTGTGTTTTCCTTTAAAGGTCATTTAGAATATGCTACTCCACCTAAAGGTCAAAACCATCCTATTACCACAAATAAATAAATCAATCAATAAACAAACATCCATTCTCTCACCATTTGCCTCTGTAAATCCCCAATCTCTCAGCAGCCTCCTGTTTTTACAGCAGAAACACAAGTGTAAAAGCTCAAAGTAATTTCAAAACAGACTCTGCCTTCATACGGTCAAAGTCTCTCTCTATCTCTCTCCATAACGGCATTAAAATGCTGATAAAACCCTGTCTGGATCTGCCGTGGTTGTTCCAGCACTGTGTTCAGGGCCAGATTAACAAATGGACCTTGATGCAACTGAATCAGTGCTTGGACAGTTTATGCAACACAAAATCTGATGTTTCAATGCAGGACATTCAACATAGGGTTTGCCGTCATTCAGTCTCATTCACTCATATGCCAAAGGTTAATCCCATAGCAAAGAAAAATTACAAAAGAGATGGCATTAATATCTCAGTTGTTTCTCCTAGATAGCAATGTGATTATATGAAGAGCAAATGGAGATTCAAGAGTCAGATTTATTTGTTTTCTGAGAAATGTCTTTTCTTGAGTTTCAAATGAAAACTTAGATACCTGCAATCAATGTCTGCAATCAAAAAACCAAGATTTCAAATATTTATCAAATTCTTCATATCTGTTCAAGTTAGACTAAATTTTGAACTCCACGTTGATTTTTATTGCACTATACTCTCATTGTATGTCAACTGTCACATGATTGTACATTTTTTATTTCTTCTAAGGAATTTTAGGAGGCTTCATTGAGTTTTCAGTAATGCTTATATGTAAATATCAACTTTGTTTCTCCTAAACTTCCTAGGGATGCATCGATACTAAAATTCTGGCTGATATTACTAAGCTGATAATTATTTATGTTATGGTTGATAACCTATAAATGGCTACACAATTTTGTCTAAATAAATAAATTAATAAATAAAAAAATTACATTATTATTAAATTAGAATCAATGGTTTAACATGAATTTAACATGAATTAGGCATCAATACATAATTTACAGTATGAGAAGGTTATATTTATTTTGATATGTGTTAAAGATTACATTTAACAGTGTTATTAAAAAAAATCATTTTACATGAGTGTTAGATGGCAGCCAAGTTAATCTACAAGATACAATTCATTAAATATCCAATATACCAATAAATAAATACAAATATATCTAATATTGACCAATAACCAATATGGTACAGATATATCATGCATTGCTAAAATAAGGACGAGCAATGTCCAAGCAATACAAATTTAATTCACTGTCTTCCCTCTTGCACTCTTTTGCTTTACTTCAACTCTTAGCCAGTTGTCTTGCCAAGACAAAATACAGAGCCATGAAATTCAACAGTAGAGGAGCTAAATTAAATGTTACTGGTGTAAACAATACAGAGGAGGAGGAAAGCACTTCAGACAGATGGCAGTGCAGAGAAGAACAGTTAACGATTCACACACAATATATGCTGGATATTTCTGATTAACAGATTTTATCATTGCTTTAATGAGGACTAGTTCTCCTAGCTCACATGCTGAGTGTTCGTAGGGCAGCAGGTCTGTGTTTTACATGTTAATGAAATGTCTCAGTCTTACCAGAGAAGCTGAACTGCAGTGCTGTATTTCACTCTGACTGAGTGAGGTGGAGACCCCAGTAACATGCACTTCAGTGTGAATGAATCAGTGATTAAAAGAAGCACCAGTCGTGTAAAACACCACTGCATTGATCAAGAGCATAGACAGGAAGCCTCAGAATTAACTGGTGTGTTATTATGCAATACGAACCTGAACCTACTGGCACAATCAACTGTGAAAAACTGCTGGGATGTGAAAATGAACCCTTATATGTGACCCGTGCTGGCAAAATGAGCCGGAATGTGCACGGGCTAATTACGAGCTACAGGCAAAACAAGTGAAAAATTTTAATTTTGGTCAAATTTGAGGTTTTCACAGAAATGAGCTCATTAATCCCTCATGTAGTGATCCCAATACAGCACAATGTAATACACATCTAAAATGATTTTTATTTGTACATTTTCTGAGATGTCTACCTTCTTTGTTTTAAAAAGTTGCGTTTGTCCATCGGAAGCAAAGCACTTGCATCTGACATTTTGGTTTCGGTTTTGAAAGGAACATGCAGGAATATATGAAATAAAGTGTGGAACTTGATTGATGTTAAAAGAGTTATTAAGAGAGATAAGACACGAAAAGGATCTTACTCGCACTGACTGACACATCCGAAGTGTGCACACAAAAATGCCTCTCAGACAGTGTGTGATCCGATATACGTGTACACACACAGAATTACAGTATTTCAAAATATCTGTCTTGGTGAGTATTCACGCAAACATAATCTGTTATGCCTTACACGAACGTTTGGTTGACTGTTGGGGAAAAAACATTTGATGTGTAACATTATATTAGACCTGTGCATTACACTAGGCCTTAATATATAAGCCCTCGGTCTCATTAATGTTAATCAAGCAATAAAAGAAAAGAGATCACTCAGTGCTCTTGACTGAGCTACTTTATATGTAATGAATATACTAAAGACTATGCAGTGATTTTTACATTTGATTATTTGTTTTTCTTACCTGAATGATTCTGTTTAAATGTAAAATGAAGAAAGTAATGTTAATTTAATTTGTTTCTTTTTGTTCTACTGTTTAATAGCATTTTTGTTCTTATTTTTAATAATGAAGATAAAATAACAAAAATATATTATGATAAATATAGTGAAGCAAGTGAAGATTCACACCTCTAGTCGCAATGTCTTCTGTGATTGGTCAAAACACCTGCGCAGTGCATTGTGTATCATGGGGAAAAAGTATTTTTCCTATAGACTGGTGTGTGCTGAATTTGGCAGTACTACCAGAGATTTTAATGTATGGTTGCTAGGTGATTTTTTTTTTGGAACCTTCAGAAAACTTTAACTAGATTTTTCTAAAAATTTAATGTGCTGACTCTATCGACTTCAAACAGGTGTAGCTCAGTCAATTTTGTCCGATTCCAACAAGTCACATCATTTTGAAGGTTTTTTTTAATAGAGAATGTGAAAATAACAACAACTTATTTTTGAAAATTTGCTCATTGTGATTGATTTTGCCAGCACAGGTCACATATTTGGTTTGAACTGAATGAGAAACACTCACAACACATGCAGTGAGAACACATGACGTCAGCTGGGTTGGAAATGTCATGGTGGTTTACATTGTTCAGCACATGTACCTGAGAACATTAGTCACAGTGACACACACTTCTACAGTGTGTTTTATTGATGAGAAGAGTCTCTCTGGCTCTCATCTCGGGTCAAGTCTCAGATGCGGGTGGAGACTGGATCTCTGGTGCGAATGTAGTAATGTGTAATGAGATCTGCGCTACTCAGAAATCCATGTAAAATTAGCCAACACATTAACACAACAATAAGGATGATATATAGGGTTATAGTTCAGCATAATGCCCACAATGACCTGTTAAGAGATTCGGTCATGCACATATACACAGATAACTCTCAAATAAAAGCGTAAATAAGTAAATACATGTCTAACCATTTGTAATTCTACCTCAGACAGTCACCTGAACACCGACACAACTGTATTCATCAAGGACCAAACCATTTGGCAATGTAACTAACATTCATGAGTTACTGTTCACAATAATTAAGTCCTTAATCTTGGTGTTTTGGGGTCACAGGGCTCACAAACAGGTGCTTCAGCCAATGATCGGCCATCTGAACAGGAAGTCAAAGCCCGTTTTGACTTCAGCTCTGGTTTCAAAGCCACAGTAACACAGCAGCTACAGTACATATGATAGTCGCTGTAGCAGCATATATATAGCTGATTAGTCAAGTCATACGCCATATAATCACTCAGAATAATCACCTAAATTAATCCCCCACATTCTCTTAAAAGCAATTGTGTCAGACGTCTACATGCATCAGTCATGAACACACGAATAAATGGCCTGTGATTTACGAGGGGCAGGGTTGAAGTAAACGGGGCTATACAGCTCTGCAGTTGCCTTCTGTTGTTAATGTGTGGGAGAAACGCTGAAGGATGTTCCTCTGCTTGCTTCACACACGCTTAAATATTAATTGGTGCATAATAGGGATGAATAAAGTCTAGCCTGGGGCAGTGAGTTGAATCCAAACCTACCGCTGCTTCAGGCAGGCATGATTGCAGTCTGCAAAGCATGGTCATTAGGGTTAGATGCTAATAGCAGTTAACTCAGAAAAGAAAGAAAATCTACAAGCTGCAGGGAAACAGCATCTCTTTCGATGAGGTGTAATGTTATACTGTAAACAGTAGTGTTTGTTTAAGTTGGTCTTTGGTTTAAAATAAATTGTACATGGGTCTACTTAAAGGGAAAGTTCACCCAAAAAAGGAAACGTCTGTCATCATTTATTCACACACACATGGTGTTCTTACTTTATTCTGCATAACATAAATGAAGAACTGTTTTTGTTCATATAATTAAAGTCAACACTGGACCCTATTAACTTTTATTGTATGAACAAAAACATTCTTAAAAATATCTTCTTTAGTGATACGCATCAGAAAAAGTTGTGCAAAAATTTTACCTTTAGGGGCACAACAGCTTGTCACTGGCAGCACCCTAATAAATGGACAACTTTGCACCTTATCTACCCCTAAAAGTTGCATATTAGTGCCTTTTAGAGTAGTTATATGTACCCCTAAGATACTACTATGAAATTTTTAAGGGTAAATAAGGTACAAAGTTGTCCCTTTAAATGTACTGCCCCAGTGACAACCTCCAGTACCCCTGAAGGTACCATTTCTGCACATATTTTCTGAGAGTGATGGGTGAACTATCCCTTTAAGACTTACCCTCTGAAATGCACAAGGGGTGTGGCTTGATGTTCATTCAGGGTTAAAAAGTGTAAAAATATACAGAGAGAAAGTCATTCTGAGACAAAATGACTCACCCCAGCGTTGTCATGGTTACAATGGTGTACCAGAAGGAGGCCGGGATGCTGGTGAACTTGCTGGATGAGGAGCCTTTCTCAGCGTAGAACATGACTGTGGCAAAGATGATGATGGCCATGGTGAGGGAGAAGAGGAGGAAGCCGAGCTCGGACGCGCAACTCTTCAGCGTGTAGCCAAGGATCCGGAGACCCTGGGAGTGGCGGGAGAATTTAAAGATCCGGAAGACACGGAACACCCGTAGCGTGACGAAGGCTCCGCTTACGTCCTCGTTGTTGGTCATGACGAGCCCAATGTAATACGGTAAGATGGCCACCACATCGATAATGCTCATCACACTTCTCATGAAGCGGTACCTGCTGGGTGCCGCGAACAGTCGCATCAGATACTCCACCGTAAAGATCATTACACAAGCTGTGTCCATGCAGAAAAATGCCTCTGTGTAGCGCTCACCGCAGGGGATGTCTCTCTGATTCGGCATAGAACTGCAAGGAACTGTCTCAATCACATTGGTGATGACAGATATGGCGATGAAGAATCCGGTTACATAGTAGAAAACCAGCGCCATGGTGCTAGTGTGCGGGTTCTCGAAGGCCCTCCACATGGTCTCGCGGAAAGTCATGTTGGGGAGTTTGCTGTCCTTGTTGTCCTCAAGGTCATCCATAAGACGCTCTATGTTCTCTCTTTTGCGGTCCTTGTACTCTTCGTAACAGCAGTCACTGATGATCTCGGGAATGATTCCAAAGAACGCCAGCTCCTCATCGTAGGCAGAGATGCACTCGTAGCGTGGGTAGTGCAGCTTGCCTGTGCGGTAGAAGTTAAGAATACTTCTGAACACATCCGAATCTCGGTCAAAGAAATACTCCCTAGTTTCCTCATTGAAGAAGAATTCTTTTTCAGAGCTCCCCAGAAGCGTATCAGGGTAACGGTCTAGCGTGTTGCGCCAGGTCTGGAAGCGTCGGCCGCTGACATTGAGGATAATAATCTCATCCTGATGCTTGTTCTTATTGGTTGGTGCGACAGGCATGGGCAGGTTGGCCACGGGCATCCATCCTATGGCCGCCGCCCGAGCGAAGGGGAGCCAGGCTGCCACTCCAGCAGCCATGGGGACTCCAGCTGGGGTCGAGGGGACCAGATCAAACACCTTCACAACCAGCTTGACATTAGATTAAACCCCATCTACATAGAGAGAGACAGGAAGATAGGAGAAAGTGAGAGGTTGACAAATGTGGGAGGACAGGAAGAGGAGAGAGTTTCAGTGGGAGAGAGTGAGACAGATGTGAAATGGGAGTGAAAAGACGGCAAGAGCGAACAGGATGCCAGCAGAATAGAGAGGCAGAGGTAAAAAGGGAAGCATTGAGTACAGTAAAAAGAAGTATGGAAAAAGGAAACCATGAGACAAGGACAGGGAAGAACAGGGAAAAATTGTATCAGATTGTATCAGACCTCAAACCTTAAGCCTGTTAGTTAGAATCATTTTTTCAAAATAGACAAAATAGCAAAACAAAAAAGTTGTCAATTTTTTACCAGACATAATGTATAGCTCATACTTTGCATTAAAGGGTACATATAAAACAATGCATATATTCTGACAAATATATTGCATTCTAACATGCTGTGCCACTGCACTAATTGTATAGTTTTAAAGACTAATTTTAAAACTATTAATTCTCAGCTCATGTAAGAAAAACTGCAAAGGGTCAGAGACGGTGTGTGCTCGAGACACAGAGCCCTTCGGCAACTGCAGTTTGAAACAGATGCGAACCTGTTGAGCTCAATGCAAAACAATAAAACGCCACGAAATATCGGTCGCTAAGCACTGACAGTGCTGTAGTTCATACTTTACGCGCATCGAGATCTGCACTGTTAACACTTCAACTGCGGTTATCTAAAGCTGCGCCTTAATAAATATTGTATAATATGAACAAGGCTGATGAATATAATAATTGTTATTATTAATAATGGTCCAATTAACACACAGCAAACTCGTTTTCAACAGTTGAGTTTTTGGTTACTTACCCATGAAAAATCTTTGAACTTTTCATTCATTCAGCAACATTTATGACATTTCCTCCTGACATCACATCGAAAGTGTTCGCCGAAACATCCGCACATTAATGATGAAAAGAGACAACAAAAACCAAAGTGAAAGAATCAAATAATAAAGGAATCACCAGCGTGATTGGAGCCGCGGAAAATAATAGTTTATTTGTTTTATTTGGGTCCCTCGGTCACATCCTGCGGTGTTTAATGATCCATTTGCTCGGACGGACAGAAATGCCGCACCGACCGCTCGCGCGCTCGAAGTGACTTCCCGCAGGATGCTCAGCTGATGGATAGAGGTGGTAGATTTTCCTCAACCTCTCTCTGTCGTTCTCTTTCTCTCTTCTCTACATAGACCAGCACACTCCCTTTCTCCCTCCCCGAGGTCTCTCCGCTGCCAGGTCTCGCGCTCTCTAGTTAAGCGCTGCGCGCGCGATCAGTGTTCGTGGAGCAGAGAGAGCGCGAGACGCACAGAGGCAGTATATACTCGCTTTCGCATCAGTCACAGTTTGACAGCGCGCTGATTTCACCTTACTTTATAGTGTGCTCACCCTACTTGCCACAGCTTTGTTACCTGAAACCAATATGGAAATGGGGACGAGGTAATTGATTTGCAAAGTCATTCGCAGCGCAGGTTTTAGCCATTCATATTCAAAGATGACATTCAAAACGTCCTGTACTTCTCCTTCTCACATCGATTCGCAATGATACATTTAAGCAAAGCTTAAACCAAAAGGTATTAAATCAGATGTATCAGAAGTAGGCTAAACTATCAGGATTAAAAAAAATAATTTCGTCATTAATCACATGTTTATCAACGTTTATCTGTTTTAATATTTTGTGTGATGCAAAAAATTTAAATGATGTGTGTGCGTACCTGGTTTTCCCTCGTTATGGGGACCAAATGTCCCCACAAGGATACCAGTAAATCTTGACCTTGTGGGGACATTTTGTTGGTCCCCATGAGGAAACAAGCTTTACAAGTCATACAGAATGAAGTGTTCTGAAAATCTAAAAATGCAGAACGGGGTTGGTTTATGGGCAGGGTTAGGGTAAGTGGATAGAAAATACAGTTCGCACAGTATAAAAACCATTACGCCTATGGAATGTCCCCATAATGTTAGGAATACCTGTGTGTGTGTGTGTGTGTAGGTTTGGCTATTTGAGAGAAATGTGACTTCTCCAATATAATGAAACCGAATGTAAAAAACAGCTTGTAAATACATTTAAAGTACTCATTTGAAGGGCTCGTAAATTGGCCAAATCATGTTAGAGCTACAACTTTAAATGTAATAATGATAATGTACATGTGAGTGTTAGTATGGTGGTCTCACATTTCATAAATTCAGATTTTTACATCCCAGTGTCCAAAGTAAGACACAAATAATACCTTCAAAAGTCTATTGAGAAATTGCTGTCAAATTAGTGCACTAATGCATGTGTGTGGGTCAAGTTCTTATAATTTGGTAGGAACAAATGGCTCTACAAGGATCAAAAATGTGTACATGTGTGTGTGTGTATATATATATATATATATACAGTGGGTACGGAAAGTATTCAGACCACCTTAAATTTTTCACTCTTTGTGGCTGTGTAAATGGCCGCAGTAATATAATTTAACGTTTTAATGTAAACAGTAAATGTAAGGTTAGGTGATGGTTGCCGCTTGGGTGTGACTGATGTTTTAGCTTTCTCTGAAAATGTATGGTCAGGCTCTTTCAGAGAGTCCAGTCTCCAGCAGGAGGTTTTAAGAAAGTAAAGTGAGCAAACTTGGTTCAGTTTTCTCCTCTAACCTCGCTGTGAACACACCAGGGGCCTGTCAGAGACAGATCGGTCACTTTTAGTGCTCTGCTGAGAGTGACACATCAGTGCAATGGAGTGCAGTTCAGTTGTGATTCATGCTGATGTGCATTTAGCTCTGAGTCACAAATTCATAAATTCAGATTTTTACATCCCAGTGTCCAAAGTAAGACACAAATAATACCTTCAAAAGTCTATTGAGAAATTGCTGACAAATTAGTGCACTAATGCATGTGTGTGGGTCAAGTTTTCTTATAATTTGGTAGGAACAAATGGCTCTACAAGGATCAAAAATGTGTACATAGCGCAGCACTATTTTAGTGCATTTTAGAGCCTAATTAGATTGGATATGGGGTATTTTGTGATTTTTTTTTGTTGTTGTTACAAAAGATTAATACGTCAAATGCTGTTCTTTTGAATCTTCTATTCATCAAAGAATCCTAAAAAAAGTATAATGGTTTCAACAAAAATTTTGCAGCACAACTGCTGAACATTGATCATAGTAAGAAATGTTTCTTGAGCACCAAATCAGCATATTAGAATGGTTTCTGAAAGATCATGTGACACTGAAGACTGGAGTAATGGCTGCTGAAAATCAGATTTGCCATAACAGGAATAAATTACATTTCAAAATATATTAAAACTGCTATTTTAAATAGTAAAAATATTTTACAATATTACTGTATGCTATGTTACAGCTGTGTATTTCATTCTCCTCCTGTTTTCTCCTGTTTCCACTCACTGTCTAAAAATGTACATGTACATTTGGCATTAAACAGGCGCTCATCCAAAGCAACTTTAAAGTGTTTCAGTGGTGTATAAATGTCAAGCATGAAATTCAGAATGATGCTGGGAAAAAATAATTACTACCTAATATAAAGCACAAAATCTGTCATGATTAATTTCACATCATATAAAAGATTAGTATTATCAGCACAGTAAATCAGTATTATTTTCTTGTTTTCCAGTAGAAATATCTAAACAACCTTCATATTTTATTTAAAGGAGTAGTTCATCCAAAAATAAAAATTGGCTGAACATTTGTTTCCCTCAGGCCATCAAAATCGTAGATTAATGTGTTTTCACTGGAATAGATTTGGAGAAATTTAGCATCACTTGCTCACCAATTAGAGTCCAAACTAGAATGAATAAGAATGGGAGTTCAAACAGCTGATAAAAGCATCACAACAATCCACAAGTAATCCACACAACTCCAATCAGTCAATTAATAGTGTGTGAAGCAAAAAGCTGCATGTTTGTAAGATGTTTTAATTTTAAACCATTGCTTCTTATGTCTATATTCCATAATAACTCTTACTCCAGCGAAAAAGTCCATCCCCTGTTGTCCTCTCACATCAAAATAAATCCACTGTCATATTTGTTTAGAACAGTTTTGGACACTTATATTGTGTCCAAAACAGTAGTGTTTAAAGTGTTTTTTCACTTATAAACAATTCTTGATCTGCACATATTTCTCCCTTGATTTAGACAAGACAGTTTTTTCACTGGATAAATTAATATGATAGATAGAAGACCAGTTAAAACATCTTGATGATGATTAATTGATGTACTGGTATCATATTGCTTACTTGTGGATTATTGGGATGTTTTTATCAGCTGTTTGGACTCTCATTCTGATGGCACCCATTCACTGCAGAGGATTCACTGGTGAGCAAGTGATATATGAAGAAACAAACTCGTCTACATCTTGGATGTCCAACAGATTTTCACTATTCCTTCAAACATTCTGTTCTAGATATATTCTATAAAACAGCCTCCATTGGCAGGGCCAGAAGACTGTAATTGAGTATTAAACATTCACCGACACAAGGAGCACACCGTAAAACATGTTACGCTGTTATTGACCCTGGAGAACATTTACAGCATACTGTCATCGCTGACCTGCCACTATTAATGATCATGACTCATTCACGATGATTTATTTATGGAATCTAAATATTCTTTATGCACCAAGAGCTTGTAACACTCCAAAGAGAAAGGAAAAATTGAAATTGCATCATATGACCCCTTTAAGATCAGTCGGATAAAGTCATAGGTAATGGATGGACTGATATCTCCATCCAAAATTAACTTCCCATAAGTGACTGACAGACCCAGACATCTTCATAACAGGATACTCCCAGCATGAAGCATTACAGTTGTGATGAGTTTGTTTTGTCTCATTATTATTCTAAAGGCTGTCTGAATGATCCAGGTGGTATTTGATAACTTTGGATATGTGGATATGTTTCAAAGTGCAGTAATTTTCTTTTTGGGACTCAAAGCATTCCTCTAACTCAATGAAATAATGACCACCAACATCAAGCAATTCAAGACATTTAGGTGTTATTCTGCAGTTCTGTGTGACCCTCTGAAATACTTAAAGTGTAGCGATGGTGGTGAATTCTTTAGTTTGTACACTAATGGCTATAACTTCCTGATAAAAAGTAAAACTATGGAGTGCTCAAAATAAATTGTAAGCCGTAGATCATAAGAATCTAATAGTCTATTAAACATACTGTAACATTTACGATACCTATTAAAAGGTTTGCATAGTTTTTCAACAAAACCGAACAGTCACATTAGATTACTATGCTCATGAAAAGCAAAAAAAAAAAAAGAAGAAGAAAATTTAGTTTAAAATTGGTTTATTCTTTGTTGAATAACATTCACTATATGATTTAGACAATCAGCTCACATTTAGCTAAATAAACACAATTCCACTGTGATAAATGGATCTCAAACTCTCTCATGCTCACTAAGGGGTCTTGTTGTTTTAACAAAATCTAACTTTAGCATTTTAGTCAGAAGCTGTTCTCATCCATAAATCAAATTGAATCCGTCACAGTAGACTTTTTGTGTAATAGATGTTTAGTCTGTGTCAAGTGTGTTTATCTTTTGTTAAAAATGTGTTCCCAGTGGGATTTGCTGTCCAAAAAATGTACAGTGAATAAACAGTGGCGTTATAGTTGACTGAATTGTGGTTGGACTGATTAGATTTGACTTTTGTTTCAGCTTTGAGAGAGAGAGAGAGAGTGAGAGAGTGAGAGAGATGTGCTACCTGACAGAGTTCAGGATGTGCTTTCATATGGGATAGAATGACCTAGTTGCATACTCTCTAGAGGAGAGGAAAGTGTGTGTGTGTCTGTCTGCATCTTTCTTTCTGAGAGATGAGGTGTGAGAGCGTGGTGTAGTGAGTATAGGGCTGTTACATGTCCGTCAGGGCACAGGGAGGTGAGGCCTCAGAAAGGGGTGACTCAGAAAATGTTTTTGAAAGAAATCTCTTATGCCCACAAAGGCTCCATTGATTTAGTAAAAATTACAGTAAAAACAGTAATATAGTGAAATATTATTTAAAACTATTTTCTATAATAATGTATTGTTTTTTTTATATACTACTATTTTGTATATGTTTTTCTATTTTATGTATTTTAAAATGTAATATATTAAATATTTTAAATGTTTATATTTAATCTACTGTAAATGTAATATATATTTTATTTTTAAAAATGTCATTTTTGCTGACTTCGGCATTATTTGCTGACTTAAGCATTTATTGAAAACAAATT